ATGTTTGCAAAATCCCTCTCCTTTTTAGATCCTTAATTAAGCTAACTGGTAAGCACACAACACAAACAGACAAATGAGCAAAGCTAAGTCGTGAGCAATTAACCATAACACACGAAATAGGTGAGGGTGAGGACATCCCACAAGACAATGACATGTACTCAAAATTCCCATTGCCCATTTTGGTGAACAACCCAACTCCTTCAAAAACCCCACAATTCAGCTCAACCTCCACCCAACAACTTTTTAGACCCTTACCTAAATGACCTCCTCTCTTAACACCATCTTAGCTTAATTATATATTATATTATAACTCAACCCATCCATAACACACCTGCAAAAGCTTTTAGCCCTCCTCCTCCATCCAAAACTCTGAACATCAAAATTTTCTTCAAAATGGCTAGTAACAAGCAGCTGGAAGACAAGCGTGCAGGTGCAGAGATTGTTTACGGCCCCGAAGATTGCTACCGCCACTCCATAGACCTCCTGGAAGAGCTAGGGTTTCCCAAAGGTGTCCTGCCCCTGCAGGACCTTGTGGAGTGTGGGAGGGTGAGAGAAACTGGGTTTGTGTGGATGAAGCAAAAGCAGCCATATGAGCACTTCTTTGTTGGGTCCAATACACGTGTCAGCTATGCCACTGAGGTGACTGGTTATGTGGAGAAGTTGAAGATGAAGAAGATGACTGGGATTAAGAGCAAGCAGGTTTTTCTTTGGGTCCCAATTTCCGACATGAGCATTGACGACCCGTCAAGCAAGAAGATTGTCTTCAAGACCCCAGTGGGGATTGGAAAGTCTTTTCCAATCACAGCTTTCATGACTGAAGAGGAGAAGCAGAAGCATTTGGAGAAAGTGAATGAATAGTTAAGCAAAGGTTTCTTGTGGTCAAAATCAAATCAATCTGGGGGTGGTTATGCAAAAATAAACATTTACTGGGTACTTAATTTTAATTTAAAATTTTCTTTGTTATGTCATGTTTGTGTTCATCTCTGGACTACGTATTCAGTAACATATTATATGATGCGAAGATTTATTTATCATCACATTTTCAATGTGCATTTTAAGTGCACAAAATAATGCACAAAATAATCAAATAAAACAACATAAAACTCAAAAAAGAAAGGAGCAGGAAATTAAATTGGCGTGAATTGCAATTGGAAATCCCCACCTCAAAACATTTGTTGGAAACACAAGAATGTCATTTCATTTCTAACTCTCCACGAAAATGACATGAAAAACATTAGCTATTCCTTATAACCTGCAAATTACAATTCAACATCTAGAAATAACTCATTGAAGAATAAATTTTTTGCGCGTATGCTAAGATGTAATAGGTCGGTAAGGTCGAATGGCTTCTCACATGTGGAGTCAAGGCGGATTTTGAGAATTAATCGACCATAGTGCAAATTAAAATGGGCGTCACGGCACGCCCCATGCGATGATAGAAAAATAGAGAAATATAACATGGATGTTATTTTGTATTCAAAGCCGTCAAATGTGTGGAGTTTTATATCAAATTATCAATGTGATGAGAGAGAATGAGAGAAATGTGAATACAACCATAATCAAGTCCCCCAAAATTTTCAAACTAGCACGCTTCCCAGATGATGAATCAAGTCCCCCAAATTTTTCATATTCTCCTTCACTTAAGTGAGTATCGCTTCCAAAAGAATCATCTCCAGAAGAAGCATTTCCAAAACTGTAACACCAAAAATGTTAGAGATAAATGGAAAGGTAAGCGTGATACATCATCTGCAATTAATCGGTGACAAAACGAGAGTTCACTGAAGCATGTGTAGACACATCACAGGAAAGTGTGTGCCTTCTGGATGATCAACAAGCACTCTCGTTTCTTTTATTATTCTTCAGCAAGAAGAAAATATATCAAAATGGCTAATTATCTATGATAATCTAACTAAAGGTACCACAACATATCATGGACAGAATCGTCTAAAAGTTTACATACTTAATAGAGGTATTTAGTCATATATCCATTTGGCACTAGTGATATCCGTAGAAGCTACATGACATTCCCACACAACAACTCATCTGCTGAAAAGCAATGAGTGCATTCATGTCTTCAATAAGTGACTTCAGAATGGACATTGGGCATCAGTGCCCTTTGTAACTATTTGCAATATGTTCCATCCGTTTTTTTCCGTTTTTCTTTTGGATGATAAGAACTACTTACTCATAGGTATATCAGACAGGTCAGAAAAGGCAAATATGGTAATGCAGCACAAATGTAACTACTTGAATCGTTTTCCGGCAGTTCTTGCTGAATGTCGAACAGGTGTTGCTCTCATCAAATCTTTGTTTCCATCATCTGATACATTATCTTCAACCTTAACATTTGGGGAATGTTCTTCTACATATGTAGTTTCATTTTTACGATCACTTTGCTTGTTTGCAGATGTTGAACCCGCAACACCTTTAAAGTCATATTATGCGTGTTGTCCCTGAAACCAACAAATTCGTGAGAGTGGATCATCAAAAAATGATAGTACATTCTATCAACACAACAGACCTATATGAACAGAAACTAACCTTAGTAAGTTCCTTAGGGAAATCAAGTTGGGCTTCTTCAGGGTTCCCAGGTTGTGTCCCAATCCAACAAGCATCGGAAAATACGATCTGGGACATGAAAATCTAATGCTGGTATCTATGTGTAAAAAATCCCTTGAGAAGCTCAGTTTCATATAACAAGCACGACCACAGACAAACAAAATGAAAGATGCAGATTCGTTGGAAAGGGTACCACACTCTGTAAGAAGAACAAGAAAAAGATTCTAGGTGGAAGTTGTATGAAACAATAGCTTTGAAAATCATGTACACAAAGTATTAAAACACGCAAAGAAAGAAGAGTTGGGAGAATAAGGTACTTAGTATGAAGACAATGAAGACATGCTATTTCAATCAACCCAAGAGATACAAGAATGAATTTCACGTAGTTGTTTTGCCTTATGAGATGCAACTTTCAGAGTACAAGTTTTCACGAAATATCAGCTTTGCAGTTGTTTTGCCTCATTCTCTATCAGTTACCAGTTAAAAACAAGTCGCAAATATAATTTATTCAGACGTGCAACTATTCACTCCTAATAATACTCAAAAGAAAATCATTAGAAAATACAAAAGAATACAAAAGATTGTATCAAAATAACCTTTCTTCAAATTTATATCATGGTTTAGAGTTGTGCACTGCCTATGAACAAAACGCTGTAAGATATGCATTTTTCTACGAGCCCAAATATATTTGAAAGAGCAACTTAACAATCAATGCGGCAAACAGACTGTAGAAAGGCGCTGACCATATTATCAAAGCAATCACACTCTTCCCACCACTAGGGACACAATAGTCCCAAACAACTTCATCCGACCCTGAAAACCTCAAAATTTTAATTTTTCTCAGAAACCAAACAAGCAAAATAAAATTAGAAAAGGATCAAGGATGAAAGTAGTAGACCTGAGGGAAATCGAGGTACAAGACGGGGTTCTTGGTGCCCAAATTCTTGAGAGCACGGATCTTACCGGCTCCAATGGGGGCAAGGAGAAGAGGAACCTGTTCTTTCGCTCAGATTTCTTGAGAATGTCTTCGCCACTGGCCAGTGTTTGAGGGGCTGATAGGTGCGTGGGGCTTTAGCAGGGACCTCTAAGAGTAAGTTGTTGGAGAAGGCGCTTCTTCTTCGATGACGAGGTTCGCGCCATTTTGATTCCACCGGATATTTCTCTTTGTCTCTCCGTCTGTTCCTCCCACTATCATTTGATTGCAACATTTCTATCGCCGCATCTGATATTGATTTGTAGCTTCGGAATGATACCCTTGTAATTAATATATTTAACTCGTATCGCCGCGCGGCTATACTCAGGTCCCTTCAATCAATGGTATAGCCGGCCGGCTATACTTACTGTTTCTATTAAATAAATAGTATCGCCGTGCGGCTATACTATTTTTGGCACGTGGTGTAGCGGGAGCTAGGGGCGGGAGGGTAGTGTTTTTCTAATTATAAATAGTATAGCCGGACGGCTATACTCGGATTTTTTAATAATAAAAAGCGCATCGCCGGCGGCCATACTAATTAATAAAACGGGTATCGCCGCGCGGCTGTACTAATTTTAACACGTGGCGAAATGGACGCTATGCGCCAGCGGGTCCTTTTTTTATTTTAGAAATAGTATAGCCGTGCGGCTATATACGGATTTGTTTATATAATATATTTTTTTAGAAGTTATCGCTGCGCGGCTTTACTGGGTCGCTTTTTAACAAAATAAAAATTTATAAATGTTATAGCCGTTCGGCTATATTGTTAGAGTATAATCTGTTTAAAGAAAATATAATTGTGTTGGTTTTCAAATTTTTTTAATTTGACCGTATAGCCGCGCGGCTATACGCGTATATATATATTTTTTTAAAGGCAGCCTGGGCACCATGCGGGTCCTTTTTAAAAAAAACTAGTATTTTTCAATAATACTTCTATTTTCCATACACTACTCAATTATTAGGTCAAATACACGTTTTTTTCAAAAGCAAACATACAATACACATATTGTACATGTACGTACGTACGTACGTATTTTTTATGTTTAATACACATATTTTTTTACAAAATTTTCAATAATTGACACAAAATTTACGTATTATACATATAATTTTCACATATTATATAATAAAAATAATTTATATATTAA